TTTCGGGCTTTTGTCCTCCGAATTGATAAGCTCAAATTATATGGTAATGGGGGCGAGAAGATAGAATATAACTCTTCCAATTTCCATAGACTAATAAGTGTTTTAATTTATGATTTAATTTTAATACCTTGGGTATGCTTCTTATTGTAATATTGATAATGGGGAAAATAATATTCATCAAACATTTTCATATTTCCCCCCTTTAAATAGCAACATTGTATTTTATATTCAAACTTTGGTTAGGCTTCCTCTGGTCATATTTAACCCATTTAGTACCCCCAGATCTGTTATCTATTTAAATCTATATTCATGGCAATACAATAGCTTGTAACAATGTCAAATTAAATTATGCTACTACCATGTTTTCATCTTGATCGTGCACATTTATAAACTCTTAATTAGAGATAATCTTAATCGAATTTATTTCGAATATGCATATAGTCGCGACTTATGGCGTTACCGAACATAATGGAGCACCCTGTGGCTATGCAATTTGTTGGGCAATAAATTTCAATAAAAATATTTGCATCCAACTGGAAATTCAGTCTCAATGGTTGTTGCCACCCTCGCAATTGGAAGTACGGCAAACATTTCGTTGCCATTTTTTACCATTTAACCATATTTTGTTTTTTATATTGCCATAATATTGTTTGTATTTTTTTTTTCTTTTGCATAAATTTAGCAGGCGGCAGTTGTGCAAACAGAACTCAAAACTCAAAGTCTGGAGAGAGAAAATCCCCATGCCAAAGTTCTCTTAATAAATCGCTAATAAATCGCCCGCAAGTATCTCAAACGATTTCGACACGCGTTTTTCTTGTTCCCTTGTTTCTCTTTTTATTTTATTTCATGTCTTTTTCGAGTATGTATCTTTTTTTATACGCATTTTTAAGGCATTCATCATAAAGTTTTGGGTCTCGAGCGAGCATCGAGTGAATCCGAAACCGAAAATCCCAAATGCTTTTGTCTTTTCGTCAACATGTCACAGCCACTAAACATCAATAAGTTTGGGCTTTTATTGATTTCGCGTTGTCTGCCTGCCTTTTTTTACAGCTCATCTTTGTGCGGAGTTTTTAGGGGGATTTCGTGTTTGATTTCTTATTTTTTATTGAGCATTGGCCACAATTAATTAGCTAAATCTGCATTTTGCATAAATTACAAATATAATATTTTCATATTTCAGTTTCCAGCTTTTCGGCTATTGTGTTTTTGTCTCCTCTTTTTTTTTGTGGGCCAATAAATCAAGTCCGAAGTTGTTTTTTGTGGGCCACCGCCAAAGTTCTGGCCGATAATTTATTTAGGTGACTTTGAATGATTTTAGCGGTGAGTTTCAAACGGCGGAGACATTCGAAACTAGTTTCGCTTCCCTAAAACTAATCACTTTGGCTACTGTTCGTAGATGCCATCGATAAGGTGGGACAGAAAACCTCCATTGGGTCAATTTGCAATTGTCAGAGAATTAAAAACCAATAATTTTTAGAGACAAACTGATGAGAATTAAATAAAAAAGTGTTCATTCAAGTCGCAGCTTTTTTAAAATAAATATTTCTTTGAGAATATAATAATATTATAAGAAATGATTATAATATATGATTTTTTATCTAAAAATTTATAATAAATATATCTAATTCTCCAATGAAATTTCTTTTTAAAACCGCTGTAGTTTTTTATGTGATAAAGAAAATGTAGAAAACTGCTGTTCGATACACGAAAACTATTCCCTTAAGCCAATTTGCAATTGTCAAGCAATTAAATGTGAATATTTTCGGGCGACAAACTGGCAAGAGAACATTTATTTTATTTATTGGAATTTTTTGCCAGAAATCAAAGCGAATGGTTTGTCGTTAGGGGTTGACTTGTAAATTCCAGGGGCGGGTTTGGGTCTCTATCGGCTATGTTTCTTTTTTTTTTTTGGGCTGCCGGCAGACAGGAGTTGCAATGATTTGTGGCATTTTACAATTTAACAGGCCCAAGGGCCATGCATCATTTGTAGGCCAACTAAGCGTCCTTTAAGGACTATTTTGTGGATGCACTCGAACGAACAATGGGAAGACACTCGACTCGCCTTCTTTTGTGCGGTTTTGGTGAGGACCTCTTGTGCCGCCTGTGCCTGCATTCGATTTTCATTGCCATTCGAAGGGGGACTTTTCGCATTTACCTGCTAAAAATGCTGCTGGGATTTTGACACGTTTTCCCGACGATCTCTTCCTGCAGTTCGCATGCGCAACCCGAAAACTGACCAGGAAATCTGGGATCTATTGTCTATATGTCTACATATACGAGAGGTCCCAAACAAAGGTGTGATATTTGTTTCTCTTTTGTCTCTGATCGGGGCAATTGGCTCAAGTCAAGATGCGTTTGCCGTGTGTTTGCTGTGTTTTCTATGTTTGCCCATTGTTTTTCTAAGGAGACCCGAGGCGCAGACTTCTTGTCAGCGTTGACAATTAGGCATATTCGCCCAGTGGTCACAGGACACTCTCGAAAATGTCCTTTGTTTGGAAATCCAATTATGAGGGGGCTTGCTGAAAAATCTGCTGACCGCTGGTCAAGCAGCTGGTTCTCTAATATCCATTGGAAAAATCTTGGCAATAGGCACGCGCTCCTTTTTCTTTCTTTTTTGGTTTTCTTATGCGGGACTTTGGGACAATAGAGTTAGGCGTATAATCCGCAAAAGGTGTTTTGTTAATCACTCAAAGCTAATAAGTAGATGGAGATATGGAAAGTCAGAGGCCCTATCTTCAATATGTGATTACAACTAAAATAATTCAAGATAAAACGGAAGCACTGCGGAAATATCACATCAGTAATTTACAATATATATTTCATTTAAAAAATATGAAATAAATATTATATGAATACTATTTGATATTCTGAGCAGAAAAATATTTACAACTATGTAAAATCAAAGGTATTATTTAAAAATCTAGTTTAATAACTACACTATTATATCGTTTCAAGACTGGTAATATATAAACCCGAATAATATCTTTAAAAGTTCAAATTTAAAAGCTAATCCCACTAATACCTTTCTAAACCATAATCCAACCCACTTCAATTCAACTCCAAATACCCAAATCGCCAATTAAAGAAAACATTTCGAACCGCTGAAGAAGGCGTCAACGACTTTTAAACACAAAAAAAAACCTTTGGTTTATGATATGGAATGGGAGGTTTAGTTTTTTCCAATCTTTCAATTTTCTTGTGAATTATTAATGAAAAATCATTTATTGAAATATGTATATACGTTTTTTATAGCTGCTTTGCAGGCATTCGACATTTAAACGCTTAAATATTTATGCCTTTTTTATATCTCTTTCTCCGACTACCTAAGAGCAGGGAAAAAAGACTCCATAGCCATACATTGTTGAATATTCATAAGGCAGCGCCTAGTGGCGTCATTTTCGGATTTGGATTTGGATGATAAACGGCGGGGAGGAGAAGATATAGTAGGGGGGGATCCACCAACATCTGGGGCGGGTCAAGATCGATGATGTCAAGAAAAGGTCTCGAGCCGAGAATCCCCAGTCTCCTTTTTTTTGTTGACCAGAGACGGCGACTCAGAACTGTTGACATATCGGGGATTTGAGTTGTAAGCGGATCCCCCGCTGATCTGATTTTCTCCCCCCCTTTGACAAGTATCTATAAAGAATTCTAGCCGGTGAAATCGGGGCGATTAAAAACATAACGCAGAGCAATAAGCGTCAGCACCTTGTCCAATTTGCTATGGTAATGAAAATTATACTCGGCGAACAAAGCCATGGCAAATCGATCATCGGCGAGCATAAATCATGATCGATTCTCTGCAGACTCATGGCAAATATTTTTTCAAAAATCCTGTGGGTGGTTCACACACAACAAAAAAAGCCCTCGCACAGCGGGTGCAAAAATCGATTAAACGTTTTCGGGGGGTTGGGATAAAATAAATTCAAAAACCACCAAAAAAATACGTGTGTGTTGAATGAACAGCGAATTGAGCAACATCATCTAGGCGACACGATCAATGCAACATCTTAGAAAAAAAAAACGAAAACAAAAACCCAAGTTGAATAAGATTTTTTAAGGTTTGGTTGCAGATACATCCGAATATCAGCCTTCATTTCACAGCCAATATATTCGAGTATTACCCAAAAGTGTGGGCTGTGATGTGAGGTTTATTTTTCGAGTGTTTCCAAAAGGGAACCCCACTGTGCGATTTGTGTACTTTTCATATTCACCGCTCTGTGTCGTCTCCGCTTTTTGAAAACTCATCGTTTTCCAGCGGTTATTAGTGTGCTGGCTTTTTTCGAATTGAATTGGAAGTGTTTTGCTCTGGTTTTTGTCTCAACTCCGGCTCACTTTTAATACCTAATGGTTGATCAAACGCCGCCTGTTGCGTTTTCTGGCCCAAAATGCTCGCAGCGGGCCAAGAAACTCCACACAAAAAACTGTGTTTTGTGGGTCACTCGAGGTCCGGTCTTACATGTCCAGCAATTAAAAAGGAAAGCCAGTACGTCTTTTCGAGTGGGTGTGCAAACTGGGCTCTCAAACACCATAGAATACGGGCGAAATATACTTAAAATTTGCTATATGTCTATCCTTGATTAAATGTTCTTTACATTTTTGCTTGTCTTAAAGGGTAACTTCAGTGAACTTCGATTAGCGCTTTTATTGAGCTACTAAAACAAAGTCTCTTTAAAATCGGATTAAAAGATCTGTATCAAAATGTATCTGATAAACCACCTAAATGTAATGAAAATATGATCTTAACATAGAAGTAGAGATAACTTAAAATTACCCAAGATTATAAAAAGTGTTTACATAGTCTCCTATATAGTCTCATAGTACTTTTATATTTATACCAAAATATACAAAAATGTATATATTTAGAATACTCATAAATATCCTAACTATTTCGGTAATTATCTCAAAAAACCAATCCTATATTTCGATTCTTTTTCGTCTGTTATAGCAAATCCTAAGCAACCACCTTTTCTATTTTCTTGTATAACAAATCCCAAACTCACCTTCATTTTAATTGCCTCCACAATTTTGGCGGTTTTTAATCCAAGTCTTTTGCACGAAATTCTGTCGCCAGCTTTAGCCTGGGAATCGAGCCCAATCGCAGCCAGTATTGAGGATATAGAATAGATAATGACGACGACGACGACTTGATCAAGAGTTTGGCAAGTGCCCCACAAAAGCCGCCGTCTGCATACGAAGCTAATATAATATGATATTCTATGCCAGCTATTGTTAATAACTATTAATAACCAGTGTAAATTCGCATATCCGAGATGTAGATCAATTTGCAAGCGTTTGCAACATTTTTCGTTTTGATTAGCACATTCGATAACAGTTCACTTTTGGCCGACGGCGAATGTTGCTACCGTGATACCGATACACCTTGTAAAGTATACTCGTAGAATACTCGTAGAACCTTATCATGGAACGGGTCGCGATAACACGTTTCACGAGAGTTATTTATATTTGTTTTTTTTTTTTCTTTTGTGGCGGAGCGGATCGAGCGGACGCGAGATGTTGTTACAGCTTCGAGGCCACTGCGTTAACTGCCGGCGCTCGGGGTTCGAGCTCAGGGATCTGGTACAACGGCTCAACTGCCTCGATTCATGCCCGGTTTCCATATGCTGCTTATGGCACCACCACCACTATCATCACAGGTATAAGCCCAACCATCCGTAGCAGCACAACCACCAGTCTCATCCGAAACTCGACTCGAGAACCCGCTCAACTGGTTTTTGAGCGCACATCTGTCGTCGGCGCAACGGGAATGGTGGTGATTGGCCCGCCTGGCCACGCCCCTTTCGGCCCGGAGAACGAGTTCCCAAGTGGTGTCCCCCATTTTGAGTGGTTTTCGAGACCCGGGTTATCTTTGCACCAATTGAGTGCGCCGGCGCGTGCCAACTTGGCCACTTGAAGTGAGTCGAATTTTGGAGTGAATTTTGGTAAAGTTAAAATGGGTGGGTGTTGTTGCTCTGGTGACGATGATGTTGCTGAGGGTTTATGCTCTTTTGGGGCTGTTGCTGTTGCTTGTGGGGATTTATCTCATGTTGCTGCTGTTTTTGGGGTTGCTGTTGCTGTTGTCACTACTTTTTCTTCTGATGTTGATGTTGCTCCAGTGGGTTCATCTCATGTTGCTGCTGTTACTGCATTTATTCACCTTTCTACAGTTTTTGATATGATAGTTGCTGTTTCTACAAAAGATTCTTCTGATGTTGCTGCTGTTTTTTATAAATATTTTAATATTGATTTTGTAGTTAACATTTTTTTATTGCTACTAATACTAATATTGCTAATATTAATAATAATAATGCTAATATTGCTACTGTTGCTGTGGGCTTTAATCATATTGCTGATGACTTAAAAAAAATTTTACCTTTGCCTACTTAAGATTCTCCTTGAGTTGTTGCATGTGCAACTGATAATGCTGTTTTTCTTGTACCTTTCACTCATGTTGCTACTTTTTTTGGGTGTGATATTATGTTGCTACTACTATTTCTCCCTTTAATAATAAAGTATTTGTTGTTACTTACATCCCTACAATTTATTCTACTATTGCTACCCATGTTGTTGCTGTCACTAAAGCATATTTTGCTGTTGTTGCTGCTGCCTGAGTGGATAAAAGCCCAGGGAGAATCCGAAAACCCATAGAGGGAAAAGAGGAACCGGAAACACGGAACTCGAACTCCGCCGCACTTGACTTTTTTGGGGTCAAACCGCTTGATGGAGGGGAAGTGAGTTTTCACTTGCCAGTTGATGTTGTTGCTCTTGCTGCTGCTTTCTTTTTGGTTAAATATTTTTTATTCCATTTGACTGTTTGTGATGGCATGCCAAACATGATAGCGGAACAGACGTGCCTGAAGAAAAAAGGCCTTTAAATTTAGGAAAATTTTTTTCAACTAAAAAGGCCAGAACTAAAATTAAAGCATTATTCTTGAGGTCACAAAAGAAGTATTTTATTTAAAATTCTACAAAGAGTATAATATAATGTATAAATAAAATATAAAATATTCATAAAACGTTTTCTGTATAATTACATAGTACTCGTAAATATTTATTGAAGATTTTAATGAAAAAATTCAAATCTATTCAACTTTTATTATAATTTATTCGAATAAAAAATGTAAATTACATTTTAAAAATGTTCTTAATATAAAATAACATTAAAAGTATGCAAAAAATTTGACGAATGACACCTTTTTTCTAAATTACTCCTCAAGTTATGATATAGCAGGCTTTTCCCTGTAAGCATTGTGCTTCTAATCCTTTGATTTAAGCCTGAGTTTAAGCTTTATTCCCAGCTTACCACTCTCCTCCGCGATTCCCCTTGACTTTCCGAGCTGCGGGCACTTTAACCATTACTTTGGACCATTTTTCATTCACTGTCTCTTTGGTCGTGGGCTGTCTTTTAAAGCCGCTTGGCATTCAATTGGCATTTGGCTGTCGCCATCATCCAGTCGCCACCCCCTCTCCTGGCCAACCCCCTCCCCCTCCCATTTTTACCAATCTTTCTCCGCTTTTTGCTTTGCTCACGTTATTTAAGGATTAACATCATTTTATGCTGCCTCGCAATGCCTTTTTTGCAGGATTAAATGCTGCTGTCTGCTGGATCTCGTTCTCCTGGCAATGCACTTGGAAAATTAAGTAGTATATACTAAGTAATATATAATAATATTAAAAAAAATATAAAGTACCATAAAATATACAGTAAGCATTCCAGAAATCTTTATACACCCATAAAAAAAAAATTTGTCACGTGTACAATGTTTTTAACATGAATTCCACAATAAACAACTATAAAGCTTTAAATATTATATTATAACAGTTTTTAAATAAGTAAAATGAAATTAAAGAATTCTCTTTCGAATTTCAAAAATCTAAATATTAAAAGGCTGTTGGTAAATTGTAATAACACTTTTTAGCAAACACTTTTTTATTAAATATATTCTTTTCTAAGAACATAAAAATGTCTAAAATCAAAATCAATTAATGTTTCCCAATATGACTCTTTGGTATTTAAAAAATCTAAATATTAAAAGGCTGTTGGTGATAAAACTTTTTACAAAAACTTTTTCATTATTCATTTTTGTTGTGAGAACATTAAAATGTCTAAAACCAAATAGATTAAATGTTTCCCAATATGACTCGGGTCACCTTTAAACCTAGCTTAATAGCGAAGTTTCCATTATTATTTTCCAGTGTGGAACCCCCCCACCAGTGCCCCCGCCCCCTGGGAGTACCGCTCTCCTTTCTCCCCTTTGAATTGATTGCATTGCACTTTTTCTCGTTGTTGTTGCATAGTTTGCGCTGATGCGCCGCCTCCATGGCTACAAAGTGATTTTTATGGCTTTCAGTCAGGGTGTGTGTGTGTGTGTGAGTGTGTGCTTTGCTGTGTGTGAATGCAAATGTTTGCCTTCCAGTGCGTGTGTGTGTGAGTGCACTTTGATGTTTCCGCATTACAAAGGCGGCACTTTAATAGCGGTGCATTTATCAAGCGGCAGCCGAAAGTCCAACAGCAGCTGGCAGCTTTAACACGCATACGCCCCGTGGGGTGCCGCAAAAAGTGTTCCTAAAAACTACAGGAAATAGAGCTTCCAACAGAACACTACAATATCATCTTTAAGACACCCATTAAAGTTCAACTTACATCTCATTCAGAAGCTAACGAAAATGATTGCTTAATTAACCTATGTAAACCTAAAGAGAAAATAAATGGTTAACCAACAAAAATAAAACAAATTTATAATTATTCTGTTAAAACATCTGAAAAATAAAAAAAAACTTATAAATGTAATACAACGATATAAATAATAAAACATTTGAAGTACAAATATATTTCATGATAAATTTTAGATCTACTTTACAACATAATATTGAATAAAATATTCTAAGATTAAGGTACTAATTGTAAGTGAATTAAAACTTTTTATTTTAAAAGCATTTCTATAAATTAATGGCAAAATGGAAGTATTATAAAGATATTTTATAAATATAAGTAATATAAGTAAAATCTATTTTAGGCTTATATCACATATAAGACCATTTTGGGTATATTTTTCCCCTAATACCTTATACTATCGCCCATTAATCAGCACATTGAAGCGCAGCCTTTTCCTTATCCTGGACCTCATCTGCTTTTGAATATAACTCGACCCTAGAGGCTCTAAATTGATTAACAGTAGCCCCCCGACCAACAAAAATTTGGGGTTGGGGGATGTGAAAGAGAGGCTGTCAACGCTTCGGCGTTCCCGGGAATGCCTTCCATTTACATGCCATAATTCTTAAATGTCACCCGATTACAAAAGCCTTGACCATTTGATTTCGACCGCCTTCGTCTTGGCCCTCGAACAGGTTGAAACCCGGGCAGGTAAACGGAACCCGCGAACCCTAAATGAACTCATCCTTTTCATCTCTCCCTTTGTTCGACTCATAGACCAGCGATATTATATTTATTTGGATCTTTATTGAGCTGCAACCTGTCGCAGTTGGTCGATTTTTGGGTTTCGGGTTTGGTTTCTTGGGCTCTCCCTCTGGATCTTCCCATTTGGTTGGCAGATTTATGTGCTAGCCTCCAAGCAGATACAGATCGAAGCGATACGATCGAAGGGATGACCAAGTGTAACTCTCTCTTTATAAAAGAAAATACACTAAGAAAACTCTTGATGCATAATTTATTCAATTAAATAATACATTTAAAGGACACACAATTTTTTAAGAACATAGGAAAGAAATGATTTAATATATGTTTTATGAATAATATTTAAAAAAACGGTCTTATCATTTTAAAATTGGGTACCCTTTTAAAATTACAATAACATTTTCAATAATTAATTTGAGTAAAATGATATCATGGAATTGTTGGATCTATTTCCCGACCTTAAAATATTTTTCTTTCAGTGTCCGGTTTCTATGATCGGTGAAAATTTCAGGGTAATTTGTTGGCTCCGTTTTCAGCTATATCTGTTGGTCGGTTGGTTTTGAGGACTGGTCTTTCCAAAAACTGTTGGTGGCATGTTCGATTTTCTGCGGCTACCTTTTTCGACTTTGTGTCGCAGTCGCGCGTGTTATGAAGATGTTAGGACCCCTGGTCAACCCCTGAAATATGTCTTAATTGTCTGGGGCTAGAACCATGGAATGGACGAAATTTAATGGGTAGTACATGCACCTACATTCAGTTCCCGGCTGTTTGCATAATTCCTGGTCGGCGCCTGTTTGCTCAAGTTTTGTTTTATGGCCAGTTTTGTGGCAACATGTGCCAAAGGACATCACTTTGTGGTGGTAAACGACTGTCCACTGCGTTCTCATAGCCCATAAATCATTTGACAAGTTGAGTTGTTTGGTCTGGGAAAATTTATGTTTAATGTCCCCGGGGGGAAGTTAAAACTAACGTTTCCTTTTACCTTTTTGCTTAAATATATTTGGATGAAATTGAAGAATTTAAAGCACAGAATATAAATTAGGAAGAATAAATAGTCTGATATGTTCGTAGAATACTTTGTGTATACTTTTCACCCTGTAAAATATAGATATTTGGTTTATCAAAAAAGATATCCTTTCCCCCATTGAAACTAGTTTTTTGTTCTTTCTCCTTATACATTATGTATATATATATATTTGTAATAACTCTCTAGTGTATATATAAATTAAAATAAATAAATACATTTTTTTGGTTTGTGGTTTTTGTTTGTTTTTTTTTTTTGTTAATAATAATTATCATTACCATCATCATTATCAATAGAGTTATCCTCGTCGGTAAAAACGCCGCCCTCGTCCCATTTTTTTGTGTCTTTATCTCATTGCATGCTTGGTTGTTCGAGTTGCTGGTTGCTGTGGTTTTTGGTTGTCGCGGTTTGGAGCTACAGTGTTGCATTTACCAATTAGACCGAATTATCATGATGCGATAATAATAATAATAGTTTATTGTATAACATATTCCGCGTTTGTCCTGCCTTCTCTTGCACATTCCCCAACTATCCCAACTTTCCCAACTATCCCCACCTTCCCTAACCCTCTCAACATTCTTTAGTCGTCAACGATTTTTGTGGTTTCTTTAACAAACAGAGCAACAAACAAAGAAATGCACAACAGGAGCAAATGTTCGATACTTCAGGATACTGTGATACTTTCCCCCGGCAATCTATCGATCCTGCCTCCCATCCTGTTTTTTATTTTCATTTCCTGGCGCGGGACTAGCCAACAAAGCGTTTTCTGTGTGGTTTTCTGGTACAATACGATTCGGTGCTTATAATAATAAGTATCATTCGGTATTTAGATTCGAATCTTGAGCAGTTTTGTTCACTAACTTATTTGGTACTGTTGTGTTATCGGCTATAATGCTATATATATGAGTTATCAAGTATCAAGCTGAGTTCCTAGCGCACCTTAAGTCGAAAGCTATTTATACTTATCGGTTAATGTTATGGTTCAGGATTCGAAAATGATAGATGACCGATTGCTTTGGAGCGAGCTAGCGTTGCCGTTTGAGTGATATCTTGGTTGTTTTTTTGGCAGATCCAAAATTCTAGACTGGCCGGCGGCACTAACCTACTTACACGCTATATGTATATATATATACTCGTAGTCGCGTTTCAGATTTGTGTAAATTATTGTTATGTACATTTAGACATGCAGTTCTAGAAGTTCCGAGCGAGCGGGGCGAGAGAAGTCCTGCCATTGCTTGTAAAGTTCGTTGTACAAAAGCGGAAATCAGGAAAATCATAACCATTTGCTGTGGAAAGTCAGTAAAGTAATAAGCAACAGAAAAAGGCAACACAAGTTTTAACTTTAACTAATCATGTGGTTTCTCTTTTATTATACTTTTCGATTTTCGCATTTTGTTTGTTTTTCTTTTCTTTTCACTTGCCTATATATTATTAGATGGTACATATACATATGTAGTTTATACGCTAAGCTAATTATTTTGTTTAACAATAAATGTATAGCTGCTTAACTCCTCCATCTTCTACTCATCATACTCCATTGTCTGTTTTTTATTTTGCTTACGAGTAACAACGAATTTTAGCTGCAGCTTCTTTGCATTAAGGAACAGGAAATTATAAGGAAATTCTATTTCGAAAGAACATAAACGTAATAAGGAAAAATTCAAATCAAAAATCATATTTAACAAATTTTCATTAATTAAAATTACAAAATAATAATAATTGACTCTCTAAATGATAGATGTATTTTACTTTTAGATTTCATAGGTCTTAAATAAACAGATTAAGTGGCTTGTGTCGAGACTTGTTTCGAAGAGCTTTACACGAAATTTTGCTGGACAAAATTAGATATAAGACTCGCCCCAATTCTGGCGGCAGATCTTGGGGATCCTCAGGTCCAGAAGGCCAGGTTGTCCGGTCGGTCGATTAGTTGATGGAGTTTCTATTCTAGCTTCTGCTTTCGGTTGAGATTACTAACATAATTAAAACGCATTCAATTAAGCACACCAAAGCAAGGCAATATTTGAAATTTTGAACATACATTTTTTTTTTGGTAGCAGCTTTGAAAATAATCGGTTAAAATAGTATTCGAGAATTCCCGGAGATTCTCTTGCTTTAGCGTGCAAATAGCAAGCGCCTCTGAGGTTGTCGATTCCATCTCTGAAACTTCTCTCAGTCTATTTGCGGTCCTTTCGAGAGCTCTCTCGGAACTAAAGTCTACCTGAATATCCTATATATGCTCGAGAAGGGGAGTGGAAGTTACGTATCGGTCGAGTGTTCAGTTCGAAAGTCCGTTTTTTGGGGGGGCCGTCGTTGTGTGTGTGTTCATTTATTGCTTCTTCGGGTACTCGATTTTTTGTTTTATTAAAGACTATTTATAATGGCACAAAATATACAGCATTCAATTGTTTTCTTCTGTAGCGGTTCAGTTATTGTAGCGATATCCGTACAATACTCCTTAACTATATAGAGGCTATATGCTATGCTTTGTCGGTTTTTCCCCCCTTTCCCTTCGCTTGCTGCGGAAGATAACAGTGATGGCTTCGCTCTGTTTCGCTCCCCGGCTCTCATGTGGTGTTCATGGTGTATGGATAGTTTAGTTTGGTTTTCTGGTGACCTGGCGACTGAGTCCCTGCCACGCCCCCTTCCTTTCCAGTTGCTACCAATAATGCCCGACAACTCTGCGGCCAGCACTCGACGAGTTCTATTCTCCTTATGCGCTGCTCTTGCGTTTCCATCCGTCTATCCGGTCCACTTCATCTGGTTTTATGGTTGTCAACTACTTTATGTTCCACTAAATTAGGTTGCTATTTATATTTATCTTAGGTATGCCGTTATGTGTATGTAGTTTTTGTTTTGCTTGGGTTTCCTATATTGGTTTTCCGGCTGGCTTTACCGCGGACGCGAACCTTTGTAGTTCGGGTTCGGATGGCGACTGGGATGACGCGCTGGAAAAAAGGAAGCCAGGAAGTTGTTAGCTTTAATGTTTAAACAAATTAGTAAGAGCACGTTAAAATCCGATATCAGCAGATCAAGTTTGTATATCATTAATATTAAATAAGATGACTAGATACAGACGTGTATACATGAAGTTTGTGTATGTTTAAAATATGTGCCCACCTTGTATCATCATTGTGGGATACATGCCGGCCACCTGCGCCATTTGCGGCCGGATATCGTTCGACGGCGATCGTCGACTGTTGGGCAAGGCCACCGAGGGCTAAAATATAGGGATAAATACATTGTAAATCTTGAAGATTGCAAGACATTAGTGATTACTCACATGGGCGAAGTACGTCTGGCCATACTTGAAGTACACGCCGGACGCCCCGTTTGGATTGTAGCCACCGAGGGCGGCCGCAGCGGCCACGCCGCTCAGCACCGCCGCCGTGGCCTGTTGGCTGCCAGCAGCTGCGGCGGCGGCAGCGGCGGCACTGTGGTGCAGCTGGGCAGTGGGAATGTGCGAGCGGGCGCCACCGCCGCCACCCGGCTGATGGCCACCATTCGAGCCGGCCGCTCCAGCAGCGCCACCTGCTCCTCCACCTAGTCCTGCAGTTGGACCGCCGCCGCCGTAAAGCGAGGGCGGCGAGGCATTCATGGCGGCTCCGGTGGTCTGGTCCAGTACCACAAATCCTCCAGAATGGCTCACCAATGTGGTCTGTGGCTGAGGTGGTGGTGCGGCAGCATTCGGCGTGTTGGCAGCACTGTTGCTCTGGCTGCCCAAAATACTGTTGGGCGAGTTGTTGCTGCTCTCGTGGCTGCCATTTCCGCCTCCATTGGCGCTAGGCGAGTTCCGTTGGGACACACTGCGCCGATAGTCCTGGTTCATGGACTTCTGACTCCGGAAACTGGCGGCTCCGGCATTCAGACGGACAGGTGGCTTGGCCTCGTAGCTGGTGACGCCGGGACTTGAGTTTGTTGCATAGCTGGGCGGTGGTCCACTGATTAGCGGCAGCTGGTTGGGCTTGTTGTCTCGTTTTACGCCCATCGTGTGGGGTGGTGGCCCACGATGTTGGTAGCTAGTAGCTCCACCGGACGAAGAGGCTCCGCCCAAGCTCACGCTGCTTGGCGAGGCACGCGGCGTGGGCTCATTGTTTGAGTTCAGCAGCGGAGTCTTTGCTCCAGACGGCATGCCTCCCAGGGGAACTGAATGCCTTGGATTGTAGCCACCTGGGTGGTATGGCTTGCGTACTCCCACGGTGTGGGCTCCTGAGGTACCACCGCCATGGTTCCTCTTCTCATAGGGCGAGGTGTAGCCCTCGTTGCTGTTCTGGCTCTGGTAGTAGTGCGGCGTGGAACTGTTGCTGTGGTAGCCACCACTGTTGCCGCCGCCGCCCGCACTGCTGTTGCCACTGCTTGCGTTATTTGGAGCCGGCGGTGTGCTGAACAGCGGAGCCTGCCTTCCAGGAGCCGCTGGAGTACTAGGAGCCGACTGTGAGGCACTCTGATCCATGTTACCACCACTGGCTGGGTAAAACGGAGCAGCTGTGATGAGCGCATGATGGGGAGCACTCTGAGGAGGTGGTGGTGGGGCCTGCTGCACCACCTGAGGAGCCGTTGGAGGACCTCCTGGACCTCCGGCTGCTGCTGCCGCCGCCGCTGCGTAGGGGAAGATATTCGTTGGGATCAGCGCGGCATGTTGAGCGGGCACAGCGTACACATGGGCACCGCCCGCACCACTGAGATCCGTGCCGGTCGCTGCACCACCGTGGGCCAGCGTCAGCGTGGGCAGCGCATGATATGTGGTTGTGCTGGCCGCCGGCGCAGCAATGATCTGGGCAGAGCCCGCTGACGGATGATGGGTGCCACCGGCATGAGTCACCGAGCTGGGTGTGTAGCTGGGATTGTAGTGGATGGACCCACCGCCTGGTGTGCGCTTCACCCGTGTGCCATAGCCACTGGAGGTCACCACGGATCCGTTGCTCGAGTGCTGTTGCTGCTGATGGTGGTGCTGCTGATGCGGCTGATGGTGCTGTTGGCCTGAAACTGAAGGGGAAAAACATTTGTATAATGATGAAAGGAAAAACATAACTTTATGTTTTTGATCCCTACCTGAAACCACCGTGGGTGGACCAGTAGCTGTGCCAGCTCCCGTGTGCGGCGCCTGCTGTTGCATTGGGGCCTGACCTACTGGCGGCTGAGAGGTCACCATGGGCCCAGCGGCCACCGCCTGCTGCGGCACATAGTACGAGATGGGGTGGTAGTACGGGTAGGAGTATTGAATCGGATACGGGGCCATCGGAAGCTGTTGCAGCTGGGCACCACCGCCCGGTTCGCTAGAGTAGATGAGCGGCGCCTGGTAGATAGGCCCTCCATTGGGAGCTGCTGCCGTGGCAAACTGGGCCGTTGGATAGGCAGCCGCCGTCGCCATTGGCATCACTGTGGTGGCTCCCGGTCCGCCCGGTCCCGCTTGGTAGATGGCCTGCGCAGGGATGAGTCCCTCACGCGGCTGCTGAGCCGGGTCGAAGACAGGTATCATGTAGGTGCCGCCGGGTATCTCACCGCCTGCCTCCGGGGAGGCAAAGAGTGTCTGAGCGGGCGGATGACTGCTGGTTGTCAGCTGGAAGAGCGGCTGCGAGGCCCCACCGGCATTGCCCACGCCGGGTTGCGGATAGGCGGCATAGACCATGCCCTGCGGAACCGCATAGATGCTGCCATCGGGCTGAAAAGGTAAGGGTTAGACTGTTAGTATGGAACACTTTTTATCTCTAGATGAACTCACCCCCTGCTGATATGTGGTGGCGCAGTAGGGCGCTGCCCCATTGGGCGTAGTGGTGGTGTGAAAGACGGTGGATCCGTCTGGCGCCTGGTAGCTCTGCGTGTACGTCCAGGTGGTTGTCTTGGGTTCCTCGACGGCGGCGCTGGGTGCGTGGCTCTGGCTAGGAGTCTTTACCTCGCACTGACTGTAGGGCGTGGAGCTGGGCGACACCGATTGTATGTCACAATTAACCTGCGTTGCCATCGGCAGCGGAGTCTGGCTGGATGGGAGTTCAGTAATGCCCACCGAGGAGGTGGCGGAACCGGAAGAGGAGGGTCCAGCCATGGGTTCTTGTTCCTGCTCCTGCTGCACTGCAGCTTCCAGTTCCAGCTTCTCAACCACGGCACAGCAGGCAGGTATATTCGGACTGGTGGCTTGGTTCTTGTACTTCTGCACCTCGATACGATCATAGTTCTTCGTGGATGTGGAGGTGGTGATACTCAGGCAAGCGGTGGCACTGGTCAGGCTATCACAATCGTCGCCCTTGATGCTTGCTGAGTCCCCGTTGCCCGAATGTTGCTGCTGGACAGGCAACGATTGCTGCTCATAGCTCTCGTATCCCTCGGAGCACTCCATTCCCGGCGACTGGGCGTCCTCCTCCGCATAACTTTCGGTTGAGCTGCAGGATAGCTCAGTAGTGGCATATTGCTGGGTTGGTTGCTGATGCTGCTGCTGTGGCTGCTGCAGCTGTGGCTGATGTTGCTGCTGGGACTGATGCTGCTGCTGCTGTTGATGTGGCGACGACTTGCGGTAGTTGTTGTAGCCACCGGAGGACGTGTTCCCCTGGTTCTGCGACTGGTATTGATTGCCCGTGTGCTGAAGCGCCTGGTTGGGCGGCAGATTGGACGGGTCGTAGTGGTAGATGGAACTGCAAAAATCGAATTCAATTATTAGGTTTGTGTATTTGAATCATCCCTTTTTTACTGGTAGGATTGAGTGTGTTATTCAGGTATTTTTTCTCGCTCGGCAGCATGCAACGTTCGAATAGGAAATAAGTTACAAAGAGTATAGAACTGCGATTAAAATATTAGGGCTTAACCAATATATCAAAAAAGATGACATATCGTTTTATATTGTAAGAAACAGAATTCCATTTTGTTGTTTTAAAAGTTGTCTTATGTTACCTACTTTTATTTTAATCACAGTTTAATAAAAATATTTAAAAGGAAAGTACAGTCAACACAAGCGGCTGCTGACAGAGTTGCCACAGTTTTGCTGGTTTTTATTTTTTCTTTGTTTTGGGTTTGCAGTGTGTTAGCGACGCGACGGCAGCGACAGACATTTAGTATTATATAAAAGTAATTGAAAAAACAACAACAACAAATGGCTTGATTGATTGGATTGATACAATGCGAAATGCAAATTGAACGAACAACAATTATGATATGACGACAACACTGGCAGACGATAGACGATAACACACGATACATTCAACTCATTCATTCGATAGCTAAAAATCTTGAAATTTCGATCAACGCTGGAGAGGCAAGCTTGGTGGAATCTGTTTTTGAGAGTATGGAAAGTGGAGTGATTTGTTTTTATAGTGGAATAACGCCCATGTGTTCGGTGTTCTTCGGTGTCTATGAGCGTGGAAGTAAAAGGCACAGATCAAGAGATATATAGAGAGGTGAGAGGCGAATAGTTATATTCGATAGCAGTTGGTGTTGCGCTTGGTGTCGGTTAATTTACTTTGAGATTAGGCAGATAATTTACAAAAACAACATCAATAAGTCTTCATGATAAAATGAAAAGCTAATAATATTGCATATTTCACATATAATAACGTATTAATATTTATGGTAAATAATATTGGATAACATGGCTAAAGTTATATAAGGATATTTTAAATATGGTTAAATATTTGGTTAAGCTTCAAGCAAATAACTTTTGCGTACTGAACACAGATATTTATGTAATTTTTTTAATAAGGTATTTGAAATAAAACTAATCTTCCGATACTTTAATCTAGGCATATAACTTTCCCGCAAAAATTTGACTTAGAAAAATTAGATGTTACCCTTAAGATTCTGGTGAGAAAACATAATAATAAATTTATTTTTTAATACTTTATATAATTTAAATTACGTTAAGATATTAAGGAAAGTTCACACAAATGCAAATAATTTTTTGTACAGAATGTGGAATAATATATGCATTACTACAAGTTAGTCTTTAATATTTAGGAGATAACTTTTATAGCTATAAGGTTTAACAAATGCCGAACTATATATTTAGAAATATATATAAATATATATAAAACTGTGTCCTAAAGCCGCAATGGTCGCTAAGTTTTTTTCGAGTTAGAATATGTGTAAATCGAAGAAAAAACAAGGAAGAACGCTATAGTCGAGTACCTCGACTATCAGATACCCGTTACTTAGCTAAATGGAGATATGCAAGCAGCAAAGCGAGATTAAAATGCGCCACCTACCGGCGGTATACAGATTTAAGCGTTATGGGCGGTAGAGTGGGCGTGGGAAATTTTTTTTTAGATCAATCGATAGGTATTTACGAGACCAATACATTTCAGTTTAAATTTTTTATCTAGCATGAAAATTGTGGGCGTCACAAGTTTTTGCGGTTTGTGGGCGTTAAAGTGGGCGTGGCAAACTTTTTTTTGGGTCAATCGATAGGTATTGATGAGAACATTACATTTCAGCTAAAATTTTTATTCTAGCATCAAAACTGTAGGAGCCACAGTTTTGGGCGGTTTGTGGGCGTTAGAGTGGGCGTGGCACTCTACTGAAATAAACTTGCGCTGCGTAAGAAGCTCAGGAATCTGCACGCCAAATCTCAATAGCCTAGCTCTCATAGTTTCCGAGATCTCAGCGTTCATCCGGACGGACAGACAGACGGACAGACGGACAGACGGACAGACGGACAGACGGACATGGCTAGATCGACTCGGCTAGTGATCTTGATCAAGAATATATATACTTTATGGGGTCGGAAACGCTTCCTTCTGCCTGTTACATACTTTCTGACGAATCTAGTATACCCTTTTACTCTACGAGTAACGGGTATAATTAAACAAAAGCAATTGCAGTAAACAAATGCGATAATTTTGCAGCGGTTTATGTATTATCATATTTTTTAGTTGTTTGTGTGGTTTAATTTTCTTTGGTTTAGTTTTTGTAAATTACCCGTCTGCATTGACAATTGGTTGGAGGGTTTGCGGATCAATGAGGAGGCTGCCAATTGGCACATTCGAAATGTCTGTGACGGCCCAGACGAGTCCCGACGTTCCCGACGAGCAACTGGACGAGGACGTTGGATCAGCCCCGGTGGCTTCTGTTCCCATATCCACGGGCGAGGTGGCGCCTGCTCCTGGTCCTCCACCGCCGACAACACCACCACCCGATGACATGGGTGGTGCCACCCGGCTGTGGGTCACCATGGCTGGGTGGTTCAACTCCGGCGTCTGCCTGTCGCTGCCGTAGCCCGTGGGCGATGGAGTTACGGAGTCGGAGCGCACGGATTGGGTGCGCGTCTTGTAGCTGGACGGTGAGAGGTTCGAGTTCGTTTATATGTTGGTTGGTTCATTTGTTGTTGTTATTGTTGTTGTTGTCGGGGGATTGCATACAAAAATGTTTTTGGTTTGGTTTTTTTCGGGTATTTTTTTTAAGGTTTGTCAATTTAAAATTATTCATAATTTAAGAAATGGAGCGAGAGCGATTTTGAGTTTGGGTACATGGACATGGTTTTAACATAAAGTTTATCTTCTGACCGGCTTCACTTGGCTGGAGGTCTTTTGCTTTTTAAATTGAATCTGAATTTGCAAACTCATGTACTTTGTAACCATTACAACGAAATTACTATCTACTATTTTCAGAGCATTTGTAGTTAATATTTAAGGGTTTTCATGAAGAATGATTAGACAAAATATGTGGATGACTTTAAAAGTTAAGAATGCTTAAAGTATTAGCCTCCTCAGTAAACCTATTACAATGCTTACTATCAAATGTTTAGCTACTTTAAATATATTTTCTCTCAGTGAAACCGGTTGCGTCTAACGATGTCAAAAAAAAAAACAGACTCTGAGGCTACTCACCCACTGCTGGAAGGAGACAGTCGCCATGGAGTGCTGCCAGTCGAGTCCTGCTTCACGAAGCCACCACGTCCACTTTTGATCGAGTTGGTTGAGTCGCCCCGCGGCAAGGAATTGTTGCCAGGACCCCCTGAACTGGGCGGTCCGCCGTAGTTTCCAAAGTTGTGCGACTTGGGCACGGCTCCAGCGGATCTCATGCCATCACGTGATTCCGTGGACTATATAAAAGTTAAATTAATTATTTGGTTTATGGTACATATCGATAAAAATCGTACATTCTGCATCTGCAGCATCTTTCCGTTGGGTCTCTTCGGTCTGGGCGGCTGAGATTGCTTCTGCTGCTGTTGCTGCTGCTCCCAACCACCGTAACACTCCTCTTCGCCACCGCCGGAGTAGCCGTCATGATTGCCTCCCGTTCGACTGAAGATGCGGCTGCGCGCCCGATCGTAGTCCTCCTCCCGCTCCTCGAAGCTCTTGGCCTTGCGATCCAGGGAGAGGGGGCACAAGTACGGTGACTGACGCACCTCGTCGAAGCTGTGCGTGTCCCGCTTCAAAATTGACTTGCGTGCATCGTCGCGCACCATTGACTGGAAGCGGATCTGAAAGAGTATTGATAAAGTAATTAGTTAATATTATATGCGGTTCATACGCGACTAAGTACCTCCGGTATACGCGTGTTCTTGGCCACGGCCACAATCACACACTGCTGCGTCTCCGTGTCCACGTTGTGCTCCATACCGAAGAAGGCGGCCGTGCGATGGATCAGCATACGATTGTACGAGGAAGCTGGCGGAAAACGATACTCACAACCGCGACTGTAAAGTAAAAAGGGGTGAACTTGATTAGATTTTTAAAATATAAGATCTAAGCAATAATGCATAATATATATTCAAATTTCTTAACACAATGTCTTAAATATCTCAACTTGGTACTGGTTCTTCCTTGCATAGCACGCCCGCTCACCTATTTTCCTGGACGAAGTCTATTAGATCCTTCTCGATCTTCAAGAGGATATTGCGGTCCTTGGGGTTCTTGTTGAGGGTGTCCCGGAAGAAGACCATCAGATCGGTGCCGCCATAGTCCGTATACTGCTCGCTCGAGTTCTCTGATTGATGAAAGACTAGAATCAGTGAGTGATGAGCCGGGGTATTTGGCCACAGACGAAAAGCCGCCACTTACCGCGCGATATAAAGCCCGAGGTGTTGTTGCTTGAGTTGTTGGACAGGCCATTGTTGGACATGTTGTTACCGTTTCCGTTTCCACCGCCTCCTCCGCCGTTGCCGCCTAAATCAATGCTTCCTGATGAGCTGCCACCGAGATTCTTCAACCGTGGTTTGTTACCTTTGGCATTGGTGTTGGCGCGATGCTTCTTGCCTCCGCCTCCACCCCTGGGCTCATAATGGTACGGCTCCTCGTCGTGGTTGTTGCTCAGATTGCTGTTCTGGCTGGACATCTCGTGACGCTCGTGTCGATCATGGCGATCCGCCGCCTTGTAGTTCATCCCGGAGTTGTAGATCACACCCGTGGAGGAGCTGTTATGCTGCTTGTTATCCAAACCATTGGCCTTCAGGTCAACTACGAACTTCTTGGTGCCGCTGTTGTTATTGTACTCCATGCCGCTGCCGTTGCTGTTGGTGCGATTGTGTTGGCCGCCGGACTTCTTTGGAGGCGAAAGCTTAGGGAACTCGGCCTCGTTGCTGAGTGGCACATTCTGCTGCGGCTTTTGGGGCACATTCTGTTGCTGCAGCTGCTGTTGCGGTTGCTGACTAGTGACAATCACGGCTGGCGTCTCCATCAACGGCGAGTTACCCCTCCCAGTTGATTGTGCTTTGCTGTTGATATTGTTATTGTTATTATTGTGCTCGTGGGATTCCCCCTGGAGCTGCTGCTGCTCGGAGGCAGCCCGCGGCGTTGGCGTGCGAGGTGGCGAAGTGGACTCACGCATCGCATGGCTGCGCGTCAGATGTTTGCCCTTCATGTTGCCCTGCAAGGAAAAGCAATCGAGGGGTGAAGTAATTAGTTTCGAATTAGTAACAAGCGAATGTCAAAGTTTACCAGGGGTGAGTCCACAGGCGAACTTCGAAGCGAGAACTTATATACCAAAGGCTTTTAAGGGAAATCAGCATATTCATAGGTAGTCAATTATTTTAGGGCATCAAAACTTGTTTTCATCTTCTATTTTCAGTTTAATTAAATTGCTATACTGACGTTTAGCTTACTCTGTTTATATAATTCAGTTTTCTAAATGTATACACCTTCCTTTGATTTGAGCTTCGCTTCACAGAGGTTTCACTTTAGCAAAAAGAGGCAGGCGTTCAAAGTCAATCCATGATGCAATTGTTGGCTCATTGAAATGTAAAAAACAAACGACCCGCTCACACAGGAAAAACCCGAAAAGGTTACCGGAGAGTAAACTCCGCCTGGTTGCCGTGCTAGGCTTATAATGTATATGATATACCTTATATAGTATTTGAACCTCAACCTACGCCCAGGATTGCCTTTTGACATTTCTCGCGCGCTGAAGGACAGGACGGAAACCGGAGGATAAACGCAGTGAGGCGTTCAGTCTGTCGGCCAATCGTTCAAGTTTAGTCATCAGGCACATTAATTTCGTTCCTTTATTTGTTTGCCCGCATTGATTTTCTGCTATACGAGGACCAACAGAAACTGACATCATTAATCAGCTGTTGAAGTCACTTGACGTGGCCAACAGGCTAAATTAACACTTGAAGCTTCAATAAGAAAGGATTAGGGTTTTGTTGTATAAAGATGCTTTGGTCTAAGCTCTTAATTTATAAATGGAAATGAATCATTAGGAATTTAATTTGTATTTTTTTTATCTGTGAAAAATTGGGAACCATACCCTGGTTAAAGAAGGTTAACTAAAGAACGTAGAATACTAAGAATGGTTGAATCATTTAGAACCAAAACTCCTGAGCGTACATTTTATAGGTACATACTTATATTTTTGACCTTAAACTTCGGCAAGCCAAAAAATTCTCAGCAATTTCCAGATTTTTCGCTCAAAGAAAAACTTTATAGCCCGGCTTATTTATTGCAATTGGCAGATTTTATAGACGAAAAAACCATTTTGCTGTCGAACCTCAGGCAAGGCTAATTTTCCAATTCTTCGAAGTGGCTTTCAAAGTGATTTCCAGGAATCTGGTACGCCCATTTAACTTTCATTGTGGGAAAAATCAATAAATCGACCTTGGAGCCACGCAGCAGCACCAAAAAGCACTACCAGCTGCCAGCGAGTGCTCCAAAAAATATCAGGGGATAGGGTGGAAAGAAGGGGCCCAGGGAAACCACTCTATCGCCCAGCACATAAACAATGATTGACGATAAATCCTGCATGAGCAGTTAACCAAGGCAACCGACCGACCGACCGAACCACCCACCCACTAACCGACCTACCAACCAACCACCCACCGACTCACACATAAACCTTGAACTCTGTTGGCAAAAAGCGTTTAGAACTGTCTGGGATTGTGGGGCAGTAACGAACTGCAGCAGGAGCAATCAGAAACACGTTTACCAATTGCAACACTTTTGCCATTCGGGGTCGATTGGGGAATTTCCAGCAAATGCGATTCGCAGAACCGTAATCCCCACCCCCATAAAGTCCCCCGTACGCTGCAACCCGTAACCCCCCTTGGACTGCCAGTGACCTGACCCAGTTTATTAGACGTTTTTTGGGCGTGTATCCTTTGCTCGAGAGTTCAGTTCATGGCTGCACTTATGTGTGTGCATCCTGCGAGAGAAACAGAGATAAGAGAGAGCCACGAGAATCGAGAGCAGGGCCGAGATGATGATGATGACGATGATGATGATAAGGAGTGGAGAAATGAGAACCCAACTGCAACACGACACCTGACAAGACCTGACCTATATACCCCAGTTCTATAATCCCTGCATTCGCCTGTCTGAACTATTTTATATTAACCTATTTTACATGAAATGCGTAGTTTTTGATATGGCTTATGTATTATACATTGTATCATACCATCATTAAGAAATATGTTTATGAAGGGCGGTAAAAATATATTTCTGACTATGGTACTATATATCTTACTTAAAGGTACCTACATTTATTCTGAGTTCATTATCATTTAAATATTTATGGAAATTAACATAAAAAGAATATCTGTATGAACTGCGAGCTCTATAAGTGTAGAGCTTCAAGTTTTATAATATACACTCTATCTTGGAAGTCACATTTAATAAATCTAGTCCCTAGTTGTAACTATTAAAAGAACGTCACAATCTTAAGTTAATGGTCTAAGTATAGCTTGGGCTGTGGACAATACTCACTCGTCTGTTGCCAAAGCTGTTCTGACGTCCCAAGTTCGAGGATCCGGCCGCCGACTGGCACTCCTCGCCGCAGTTGTTGTTGATGTTGCTGCTGCTGCAGTTGCTCAAGATGGTGGCAACGGAGGATGCCACCGCGGATGTGGCTGCTGTGACTGTAGATCCTGTTGCTCCGGCAGTGGCTGCTCCAGTGACTACTGATCCTGATAGTCCTGCTCCCGATCCTGATCCTGAACCCAGTCCGGATGAGTTGGTGTTTGAGGCAACGACGGCGTTGGCACTGGCAACAACAACAACGGCGGCCGCAGCGGCCGCTGTTGAGGCAGAAGCGGCAGAGGATAAATTGGTTGGAATATTCGTAGCTAGGGCTACTTGAGATTTTGTGGAACTCATAATCACAGTTTATGTCAAGTGTACTGAAACGAAACAAGAAATCGGAAAACGAAGTTGATAAGGCAATCAAAAACTTCAGTTTATTTATTTAAATTTGCTTGTTAAAAAAGTAACACCAACGATCCTTAGGGAAATCAAAAGTTGATATACTGAAGAGTAAATTGGAATAGTTAGGTTGAACTCTGAACACACCATTTATATTATAAAGTTTTAGAAATAAATAATAAATGTCTTCTTTTCAATGGTACGTTATATTTATATTTTAAGTAATACTTTTAAAAAGTAATTAACTTATAATTTCTTAAACCCATAATGATTACCTCAATAAGTGAGTTAGACTATTGCATTTTGTTTACACGGTTTTATGTAGCTCCAAAAATTTGTTAACAAATTTTCGTTTGTGGTTAGTTTTTGTCTTTTATAAACTTTTTGTCTGCGGTTCATAAGAATTTTTGCATAGTTTTCTTTATAGTATTTGTACGAATATTTAATATTTTCCTTATTATTCTTTCAGAAAAAAATCATATTTGTCGAAAAGTTGCGGCAGTGCAGTTGAGAGAATTTTTTTTTATAAAAAAGGTTGAACCAAAAATCTCTGACGCTGTTGTTTTCACTCGATTTGCTTTGGTTTTGTGCGACTTAGATTAGTTTACTTGTAGTTTAGTTTGTTTATACGATGCAAGGCTTAGTATTTGTAGATAAATAGTTATTGTATTGGATTTTCGTGGCAAAAAACTTTGCGAAGGGAGGAAAAATAAAACACTATTTAAAGGTATTTATTCTTTCTTTGTTATTGTGGTAATTGAGTTTTTAAAACGTTTGGTTGTTTGTTTGTTGTTGGTTTTTTTTTAGAACGTTGTTTATCACATTTACACCATATCACCGAAAATCAGAAGCTGCCCAATCTTTTTGGTCTGTACACTTGCTTGATTTTCTCAGTTGTTTTGTTTAAAAATTAATTCATTTATGCACTAAACACTTAAGTCGCTATTTCTATAATTAATTTATATATATGTATGTATATTGTATAGTTAAAAATATTTTAGTTAAAGCTTTCTTTCTTTCTGGTTGTTGTTTTGTGATTATTTCTCTCGCTGATTTTTCCTTTTTTCCTCGGTTTTGTGTTATTTTTATTGAGATATTTCCTTCTGGTTGTCTATATAGTTCAGGTTCTTGGAGGATTTCTTTGATTTCCTGTTGTTTCCTGTGGCACACATTTTACTATCTGCAAAGTTGGAGGAAGTTTTAGTCGAGGGCTTTTCATTTCCCCGAGAGAAAAACGCGCAGGCGAGAGAGATAGAGAGAGAGTGAGAAATCGAGAAATCGAGAGAATCCCTCCGCAAAACTGTGTATCCGTGTATCACACACTCGTAGACAATATGACCTTGTTTACGATTTATTTTGATATTCAAAACTGCACGAACCGAAAGCCGAGAAAATTTCATGATGCGAATATTGCCCTCGGCACGATTAGAAGGGTGGATATTCGCCTGCTCTCTTTATCTTCAGGCCTCCTCAGAGCTCCTGGCGAATATCCTTATAAGGACAACACACACACACAACATAACACCCGACTGGTTCCCATTCAGCGTAATTATCTAGAGTTTTTGATTGCCACAATTTATAGGAGTAGGTAGCTAATTTTGTCCACTTTTTGTGCGTATTAAAAGGGTTGTGCTTTGAACACCCAAAAAATGTTTCAAAATTTGATGTTTATCTGTCCGAGTTGAATGGACTTTGCATAAATAACTGAGGCAAGTCGGTGCTTTCAGCGGCAAGTAAAGGAATCTTGGGAAAGGGAGGCCAGCCTTTTGGTTTATATAATTAAAATCTGCGGTGTAGCATAAGGGCAACGGAAAATTCCCAGGAAATACTTTATTGAACCAAATCATCTTTTACTTCTTTTTCTCATGTTAAACTAGGAGTTCAGGATTTTATATAAAGGATTAAAAATAAAAAAAATATTTTTTATGATAAAGTACTTTTAAAATTTTTAAAGTAATCTTTTTGAAATGAATTGCTATTTAAGTACATCACTTTATAAGGTCAATACTATACTATTTATTTTGGAATTATGTATTAAGGAATCACAGATTAGAACTGTTTAATAAAATATATCTTCGTAAAAGAAGTGACTTCTTAACTTTAAGTATGATACAATTTTAAAAGAACCCCTAATTTGTTTTCTAATTAACGTTTTGGGTTAACCAATTATGACAAATTATGATTTTCCTTTCGTTTGTTTCTCACAAATACTTTCAAGACCCATAAGACCAAGAAATGCAAATATAAACAAAGCCGACGAGGGAATAGATGAATGAAGGTTTTCAAGAGGTTCTACCCTCCCCCTTTTTGGGCCAAAAACACCTGGCCAAAAGCAAAATGCCGTGACAGTCGCAGCGAATCTTTTATTCTGGGGAAATACCCGCGAAAAATGCGAAAGCGAGAAACGAGATTTGGAGAATCGCGCAAGAGAAAAGCGGAAAAGTGGGCAGGTGACAGATGACGTAGCCGCCTTAAAAAGAAACACGCATACGACGTGTGGCACACGACCAAAACGAAGGTGACGACGTCGTCGTCTTCGTTTTTCCACCGCTTTTCCCTGCCCCTGTTATTACCGCTTTTGGTGGAAATGAGGCGACGGCAAAGTTCGCCAACGAAATTTGGGACAAGAGTCGGAAAATTGCATTCGGGAGAGGAATCGGAATACGGGAATCAGAATTCCGAGGGGGGGATGAAGTGGAATTATGGGTTGCATGTGGCACGGTATTACGACTTGGCCTTCCTGCTGTTTAGCTGTTTACAGCTGCTCACTCACTCATCGCACACACACACCCTCTCTTTCTTCGCCTATCGGCCGTCTTCTTTTCCGGCCAACCGCTCAAAGCGACAAACAAAAAAGCTTCCTCATAGTGCCGAGTACTAGGAAATGTGTTGCGGTTGTCTAGTCTGCGGAGAATGAGCTCCAAGGCGCCTGCGTGGGAGAATCCTCAAAAAATGAGAACCATCTAGTACACTCAGCAAAAAAATTTGATCCGCCAGAATTAACAAATTCCAAAGTTTAAATGTCACTCTAATCTTAACTTCCAAATTCTTTCAAATCTATACACGAAATAAATAATACTTAAACTTTGAAATATAAGTAAACTATAAACTTCCTTTTAAAAAAAAAATATGAACTTAGTACATTACTATTATTGTAGGACCTTTGCTTAAACACACCATTTTGCATAGATTTAAAGTATTGTTATTCGAAGATAAAGTGGAATATTTATTATAAATGAATGAATGAAATGAATTGCGATGCAAAATACCTTTTTAGTTGATTGTAAAGACCTATATATTTTGTTATACTATGAAAATTTTAAATGCGTAGATTAAAATTATTGACTTTCGAATATAAAGGGGAATATTAATTATAAAAAATCAATTCCGATGCAAAATAAAACTGTAGTTGCTTGGAAAGACCTATATTTTTTGTTATACTATACAAATTTTAAATGTATTCAACACTTTTTTTAATTTAATAAGAATCCGTATTTCAGCGGCGGAAGAGGTTTACCTACACTGAACCCCTCTATTTTTTTTAGTGTACTTATATAGAGAGCATGGCGAGCCTGCACTTTAGAAGCTCGAGCAGGAAGTTGGCTGCGATGCACTCGCAAAAGGCGGCGGAAGGGAAATGGAAAATGAGCCAGCGAAAAAACCCCAACAGTGGTAAGAAGAAGAGGGCCAAATGGGGCGTGCATTTCCACCTAGAGCCAAATAATGATTATAATTTGTTGACAAGTCGATGATATGTTCCGAACATGCATTTTCCAAGCTCTCACACGGAAAAACTCTTTATAATTTGTATGCGAAAACGTCACCGAATTACGGAAAATATAAAAAAAAAACAGAAAAAGAAAAGTACGAAATGAAAAACGAACCCGAGGAAAAGACCCGAACTCTCGTATGAGTTTGTAAGTGTGTTTGTGTGGGGGAAAAACGTGTGCGACTGTGTATGTATAATACACCAAAAAGGCCACAAGAAAAAAAAGACTGTCTTTAAACCAAATGAAAATTCCTCGCGACTCGAAAACATTTTCTTTTTCGCACACATTTCTTTGCACTTTTTTGTATATATATTTTTAAACACTCTGCCCGGCAAAAGGGGCTTCCTTTTTAGCTCTACATATATCCGTTTACCACTCGAAGTCTGCAGTTTCACTCGCACAGTTTGGTGGATTCTAAAACAGAGTTTTTTTATTTTTTTCCACGCGCGTGCCATTTGTATATTTTTTTCTCCTTTTTTTCCACTAGGAATTCTTATATTTTGTATTGAGAACCGAAAACCGTACCCCCAACCCAATAAACCCCATCGACCATTGTTCACTCTCTCGAATTTTCTCCCCCCACTCTTTCACTCTATCTCGCTCTCTCTCTCACTCTTTTTGTTATTTTTGTATTTTTTCTTGAAAAACTAATTTTCTCGGGCACTAATTTTTCTTGCCTCCGCTCGTTTGCTTCATTGTGAAAAATGTATTTTTAAGCTGCTGCTTCTGCTTCTGCTCCGCTTCTTCTATAGATGTTGCTGCTGTGAATGTTGCTGCTAGTTGCTGCTGCCTAGTGTTGCTGCTGTAGATGTTGCTGCTGTGGATATTGCTGCTGCTGCTGCTGCTGCTGCTGCTGGTACGGATGACAATGACAACTTTGGCAACGGCTGCGACAGAAGCGACGACCGCTGGCGGACATTATGGGAACACGGCCGAATGGATACTGGGCCAATTCGCTGGCGAAAGGTCTCTTTTTCTCTGAATTTCTCTCTAAAATCTCTCGGCTAAGAATCTCCTTCGTGTGTGCTTTTCCCCAGAAGGGTGGCAAAAAAAAAAAAAATTCCCTCTCTTCTCTCTCGGCCAAAATTAAAAGAGAGCCCTGCGAGTGCGTAAAAGCTTCGCGGAAAACAGGTTAAAGCGTATGGGTCTCCCCCTCTCTTTCACACTCTCTAGCCCCCTCTCTTTCTCGCTATATATCCTCCCTACCACATAGTTCGCCCGATGTCCCATGGCCCAGAGGCAAAATGCTTATTGGGGTGGCATTTGCTCGGGTCTCTCCACTCTGCACTCACTCGAAGAAATTATGGTTTCAATGGGTTATGGACTAAAATGATGGGGGGTTATTAGTATACCTCATAAAGTTGATGTATACCAAAAAAAATTGTAGAACCTAAAATGCTATGATACTAGGATGAATATATGAATGATTATATCTCAATAAAACTGATAACATTTAATATTCTAGATTGTCATTAAAAATGGGTAGACTATTTACAATAAGTAAAATAAATACTATGTACAAGTATTAAGGTCCATATCGCTAAATCAGTTTTAAAATTGCTTGAAGAGGAATAGTTAAAAATGGTATTATCCCATTTCTTAAAGTCTACTTTTGTGTGTTTTCCAAGTATTATTTAATTTTGGATGACCTTTTGAGAATAATTTCCCTAATCTTTAAACTGTTTTGTAAGGATTATCAATTTAAGAAAAATTCTAAAGATATGATATTTTTTTTTACAAATTTGGTTTGCAATAATATTTCTCCAAGTGTTCTCATCTACTCCTTCTTGTTGCTGCTGCTCCTGGTAGCTATTGTTGTTGCTTTTATTGTCCTTCCTGGTGAGTTTGTATGCGTGTGCTGCGTACCGACTGCAGTTGTTGTAGTTCTTCTGGTAACTGGGCATCTCATCCTTTATGTTTTTCTGTGTTTTTTGCCTATATATCCCTATATCCCTGCTTGGTTCTGTGGCTTCACTTCCTAGCAGGCCACAAAAGGACCTTGGACATGTGAGCATAAGTGCGTGAGAGAGAAGGGGCGAGAGTCCTGCCTGGCAAAAGAAAGGGAGGGAGTAACGAACCAAACTGGAATGTTTACGGCACAAAAACAATAAAAAGCAAAAAACTTCATAAAAGTCGGTGATGTTTTTCATGCTCTACCTGGGAATCGAATTCAATTTTAATTGAATGTAAATTCCCAAAGTGATTTTCCATCAAAGCAATCTAAATCTGGGTTTCAAACACTTTTAATCAAATTGTTTATGCGAAAGCCAGCAGATAACCGAATGGAAATAGTTTTAAATAGAAAGGGAACATATCAGAGGAGGACCCTTCGACTAGGGGATATCCTTTTAAAGTTACATAAAGCGAGTCTGGTAGAAAAACTAAGTCGGAACATCGGGCACAACTATTTTCGTTAAGTATCCACAAACGAAGTTGCTTTTTTTTTTGCATATTTCTGGCCCCAAATATTACAAATTATTTTCCACTTAAAACTTTATCCCATAAATCATGATATACCCTACATTCAAGCATAAAACTTTTTCCAATTCAATTACCCTCGCAAATCACTGGCAAATTGACCAAAAAAGTGTCCATCAATTGAAGCTTTATCCTTCTCTTTTTTATTGGCTTTTTCCATCTCTTTTTCGCCTGCATATCTGTCAATTTATAGCCTGAAATTGCATTTGATTCCTGACGGAATACGCCAGTTATTTTATTTGCCCCCGACCCTCTTCTTTTCCTGATGATGAATGCATTCATCATTTGAGTGGGCAATAAAAAAGCTTTTAGAATTTCGTAGCTTAAGGGGAAAAGAGAAAAATGAAATGTGTAGGGGAGAAAAGAAGCGATAAGGAGGCGATAGGACAGATTTCTGCATTGTGGCTGCCAATAATGTTAAACCAGGAGAAATCACAATTTTTTCCCTCATAAACTGGTTCCATTTTTCATCTGACAAGGTAGAAAATAATCTTTTAAGTTTTAGAAACGTCCTGGGATTTTTAATGTAATAAAAAATAGAAGAAAAAATCAGGTCTCCTTACATTGCGTTTTGCTATAGTTTTAAGATATTTATAAAACAGATTTTGTTTTTAACTTTTTTGAAAAATATTATTAAATTTTAAAAATGAAATCATAATTTCGGCTTGTTGCAAAAGATGATTCCTGTTTGTTACGTGTAAAAGTGTATTAAAACCAATCTGAAAATTCCAATCCTTTTTTTATATCCCAAAGGTAACTAACAGTGTTCGTATTTTTGCAAAAGTAAACTATTCCAATACTATCATGATATTATTTTCATATATTTACAGTTCCCCTTATTGGGATCACTATTTTTTATAGTTTAGTCACATCCTTTCGTGTGCATTGTGGCGTGCATCCCGCAATTTTGGGATGAAAGTCAGGTGAAGCGTGTCCTAGATTCCACTACAAATACAAACAAACCTCTACAAACACACACAGAGATTCCACCCCAAAGTATGCAACATAATTTTAGTGCAAACAACGCAATAAGCTCGACTTTCTGTCTAGCGGGACCTTGAATTTAATCAAAGTTGCGTCAGTAATCTATCTCTTTCTAGCCTTTCTATGCTCCCTCTCGCTCGGGCAAATTGCAAAATAATTTGCATCGATTAGCCAAATGAGTTCCGGGGATTCCTGGCTCCCTTATCTCTCTCTCTTTTTTCTCTCAGAGGACTTTTTGTCGTCTTTTTAGCATCGGGGGGGATGCCAAAATGCGTTTCCCCAAATGCGTCGTAATAAATAATTTATGTAAAATGCTGGGAAATCTAGAAATGGTACAGGGAATATTGGCAAAGAAACAGAAAGAGAGAGAGGAAGGGAGAAAAAAGGACGAGACTGTTGCTCCTTCCTCTCTCTGTCTCTCTCTCTCTCTTCACCCTTCGGTTAATGTAATTGCATATTCGTGAATGTCGCGCCTTTCGCCTGCAATTACGACATCTTATTTGGGTCAACACGGAGAGATAGCTCTCTGGAGAAAGAGAGAGAGGGGTACATGGAGATGGAAAAAGAGAGGTTTATACCCCTCAGAAAGAGAGGGGCCGAGCTTAAGCTCCGCCGCACGTGTGAGCTTAAAAGCGCATCGCATTTCGAGGCCAAGTGCCGAGTACGAGGATACGAGAATACGAGGATGCGAGGATTCGAGGACTCGAGGATACTACCAGCATCCGTCTGTCACTTCCGCAGGCAACTGCAGTACCCAAAAAGGGGGGGTTTTGGGTGGTCTTGGCTGGTTTTCCGGGAGGAGGAGGTAAACGCGGGGTGTCCAGTGGGTGTGGCCTGCGTTGGCCCAGTTTAGTTGGCCCACAGGGCAGATGCAAATGCACTGATTTCCTGCTGGAAATTCAATTTAAATTCTGTAATACCTGTATTCCCCGGTAACTAAAGGATACAAGAAATATCATAGTAACAGGAAATTAAAGTACTGGGCATTGTAATGAATGCACAGTGTCGGTGAATACAGCGATGCTTTGTATGACTTGTTAAAAAAATTCATAATCTGACATTTTAAAATAAAAAAGTCAGACTATTTATGTTTATTAGTCGCTGTTATTAGAACATTAGTTTTATAGAAGGGTCATACAGATAAACAAATATGTTTTTAGCAATATGATTCATAGTCTAAAAGTAAACGTAAACGAAAATTCACCTGAAATCCCAAAGCAAACTCAACCTAAGCATTTTAAATGCAACCAAAGGATTCAATAATGGCTATTGGATTACTCTTCAGTTAGTCAGAGATTTGCGCACTACACAAAATGGACGAAGAGCAGAGAAAGATTGACATTAAAGCCTTTTGTGACTATCCTGCTGGGGGATATTAACCAAGCAAATCTAATCTAATTAGCCGGCAAATGCCAAAGCAGAGTCAACTCTTACCCGGCTATACATCCACTTTGGTCCCCCCTTAACCCCCCAGTGCCCAGCCGGCCTCCTTTAGTCACCTGCTTAACACCTCGACGGCTGTACGCCCCCGCTTCGTTTTATGGCGCAATTAAAATGCTAAATGCTTTACGACATCGCCCAGGGGGGGTCCTTTAATTAATTTGCCTGTGACAATGACTGGGCCATGCCGTGTCTCGTGTCCTGAAGACCATGAAAGGTGTTAACAACAAACGCCTGGCCAAGAAAGGAGGTAGCAGGCTGGCAAGGACACCCTCACCTCCATTCACTTGACCCAGACAAAAAAAAAAGAAAAACAGACAGGCAGACAGATGGAAGAGGCGTCCCAGAGAAGTCTTCATTTAAGCGCTCCTCCAACCTAAAACATCCTTGCTAAAACCCTGATTATGACAGATTTGATGGATATAGTCACCATTTACTTGGTCCTTGGGGGACTGATTTTCATACCCTATTTAGTAAGGTTCTAGAGGTACAATATACAAATAGGAAGAGCTCTAAACAAAAGCTCCTTGCAGTATAGTATTAGATACAAAATTATTTATTAATTTTTATAGAAGTTTTATATGAAAATAATATGAAAATGCTATACTTTACTATTAGATATTATAAATATTTAATTTTATACTGATGATTTTATACTGATTTTAATTAAAAATCTTTAAACATTATTTTTTTTTTCCTTTAACTATTTGTTTAATATGGTGTAAAGACACTTAATCAATAAAATGAACAAACTTAAAGCGTTTTTAATTTTTCTCCAGCAAATATTTAAAAATCTAATATCTTTCAGGGGAAATCTCGAAATCATTGAAACTTTTGCTAGCAATTCCCTGCTTTCATTTTAGCTGACACACGGCTAAAAACTTTTAAGGCCACGCTGAGCAACCTTTTGAGTTCTGCGACACACAGCGCAAAAAGCCAAGCTAAGCACAACCAGACAAGTCAAGAATCCAGACTAGCAGATGTCCTGTAAACGGACGACTAGTATTCCATCAGGAAAATATTAATGGGCAGAGGATAGGAAAGCTAGACTTCAAGTCTCCTCAATCATTCATTTGGCATATGAAACATGCCCCGTTGCATACAAAAAGGGGCACCGGGGAGCCGACATTTGGGGCCATTTGATTGTTGTCTTCGGGCTCGGTCCCGGGTTCAGTCCACGTAGCCCCAGCCGGAGCCACCTGCGGGAATTATGAAATATGCAAAAAGCATCTGCGCGGGCCTAGAGGCACCACCCCCATTCAACCCATCCAACCCAACCACCTCCTTCGCTCTTTGCGGGAATAGAATTCGCTTGGCATCGCAACTTTGTCTGCAGAATCTGAAGAGGAAGCCGAGGGGCAGGTGACGGGTGGAAAAGGTGGGGCTCTTTGAGCCAAATCAAAATCAAAAACAAAACTGGCGTAACCAATGT